GCACACACGAATTTGTGCTCCACCTCGCACAAGTGGGCGACCTGGGCTGCAGTTAGGTTCCCCTCGCCTGCATTAGGTGGGCTTACGAGGGTTAGAGGGTTGAGGGGGAGGAAAGCAGTCCAAGGAGAGGTGATGCGGGGGCGGTGATGACTGTTTTGTATCCTTTTCCTGTTGAAGGGTAAGGAATGCTGCTTTTTCCTACTCCATCTTCCCCTCAACCTTAGTAATAGGAGACTACAGAGAAACCTTGCTGTGGTGACCCCCTCCCCCTATTGTGGGGCAGGGGTACGTAGGGGGTTTAGGGAGTAGCCGGCACGGCAGGCTAGTGGGGCACCCCAGGGGCACTATTCTGGTGAGGTTGCGCTTTCGGGTCTTGGGAACCGCACGTTGGGAAGAGGGTAGCAGGTGGGGAGCGGGAGGAGAGGAGGCAGAATGGGGAGGGGGATCTGATTTTGCTTGGAGAAGAGAGGTGCTGCCTTCCTCCCCCAGGCGAAGCGGGGGCGGTCTCAGGAGGAGGGAGCATCTTGTCGCTGCCTCTGAGTTTGTGTCTTCCAATCCGCTTTTTTTCTTTAGGAAGTACCAGGATTCCCGGAACAGAAAATGAAGCCATTGCTTACACCAATATTTGAGGAAAGGAGGGGGAGGTGGAGTTCCCTGTTTAAACGGGCCACTTGATTAGAAAAGTGGTAGCTCCTGTTTTGGGGGAGTTCCCTTCTTTCTGGGTTGAATTACTGCCAGTCTCCCTCTGGCCTGGCCAGGAAGAGTGTGGTATGTGGTCAGGAGTGAGAAGAAATAGTGAAGTCATCTGGGTGAGGGAGAAGTGTAACTTAAAACCTGTCTCTGCTGCTGTTGGATTGGGTCACCCCGGTATATGGCATGAAAGTTTTATTGGTAGGAGATCTGCTGCAGGAGTCTGATTGCTTGGGTCAGTGCAACAGGACAGAATCTAGTCTCTGCATACTGTCCCTAATTTGCTGCCATTTTGTCTTGAGCTTGCTGTTGGGGTGTCTCCATTTGCTATGACTGGAGTGGAACAGTGGTCATGGCACATTAGACCTGAGTTTGAATAACATGTCTGTAAAAGCTCATTCTAAGAAAGAAACCGATCCATTGAATTCACCTTTTTGCAGAATGAATCATTGACCTTGGATTCAGGGGAGAAGGGACCTCATATATTACACATTCACGCGCCTCCTGCTCCCAGTGTAGAATTATTACTTTGTGTAGTCAGAATTTTTATGTACATGTCTTGCTTTCCTAAAGAGGCTAAACTTCTTGAGTGCAGGAATTAGAGCTCATCTTGCATCTCTCAGAATGTGTATGCAGATAGTAGGCACTCATGATGAATACAGGATGTGAATGGATAGAACTCAAAGCTTTCTTACTGCAGTTTAAAGAGAGAGAAAGAGATGGCTTGGTGGTCAGGAAGAGTGCCTGGAGATAACTGAGCGAGGGTACAAAGCACCTTAGCCTTTATATTTAAGAAGTCTTGGGTCTCTCCACTTTCCTAAGAGGCACAAAATAGGCATGGATAATGGAAACTAAGGCCACAAAATAAAAATATTACTAGAACATATAGAGTCATTATTTATTTGAAATTCCAGATCTCTTGATTCCCCATTGTGGGCAAAGGGGTCTCTCCATGAGCTGTAAGTCTAAAGTGTTGTGTGCAAATTGGGATCCTAAAGATCATGGAGGAGGGAGCCAGTGTATGTATGTGGTGCCTGGCACAGAATTGATGCCAATGAATGGTAGCTGCTATTACTAAACTGAATGCAAGTATAAAAGAAGGCAGACAGCAGGCTGGAGAGAGTGGAAGTGAAGTCTTAAGTGCACAAAGGATCATATTGTGTGTTTTCATCTCTGCTACTCTCTTCCACTGGAGTCATAATAAGGGGAAATGGACTCAAAGGACAGTGGGCAGGATTTGTTGGTTAGAAGAAGGAACTTCTTTAAAACCAGGTTTGTTCAAGCTGAGTAAATAACCGAGGGAAATTATGGAATCTGCTTCCCTGTGTACCTTTAGAAATGGATGCCGAGGGTCCTGAGATTCAAAGCATGTAACTGGCTTTCATCGTCATTTTTGTTGCAGGTGAATTTAGAAGCAAATTGGTATGGTGTGGACTTGGAATTGGACAAAACTGGGTTCAAATCTCGCCTCTGCTATTACTAGTATGATTTGGGTGAAATTACTTGTATTCTCTTAGCTTCATTTTCCTCATCTGTAAAGAGTACAATAATGATAATACCTACTTTATAGTATTGGCATGAGGATTAAATGAGATAATACACACAAAGCACTTAGTATTGCACAAAGCACATAGTAAGCCCCAAGTAAATGTTAGCTGCTCTTAATAGCACTCGTTGTTACAATAGTAATAATAATATGAGCACTCACTCAGGACTACCTTAAAGATTTACAAAAAACAAAAACAAAAAAACTGAAAAACAACCTGCCGCCTGAGTTGCCTGTGTTAGAGGGACGATTGTTACCATGACTTTCTGTGCTGGTCGTAGGCTTGTGAGCAGTGAAATCTTTTTTCAGCATCAGCCTCACAGAGGCAGCTCCTGCTGCCTGAGTGGGAGGTGAAGCCGAAGCAAGGCAGGGGCCCTGAACCATCAGCTTGAATGTAGGGTGAGAATGTGGGGGCTCATACTGTTCATGTTTTAAAAAGTCAGCATGACTCTGAGATAATGGTTAACTCTTCTTTAAAGGTGCACCCTGATTGACCTAGGTCAGGATATAGATTCCTGGCTTCTATTATTTTAGGTCCCCATGAGCATTTCCGTATCTTCTCTTTCCTTTATTTAGTCATAACTCCTTTAAAAGTTCACCTCCGAGTATATTGCAAAATGTATTAAGGTCCAGAGTTGTGATATCTGTGTAATTCTACCTTTCCAACATCTGTCACAAATATTGGTGGATTGCTGATAAATTTTTTTTGATACTGAAAAGACATGGGGAGCATTTGGAAAGAGTTCCACAAACGTGTGAAGGTTCTGTATTGTAGTCTGGGAAAGAACTGATGTAGGGATTCCATAAATGAGTTAGATCTTTGTCATGGACTTTTGCAAAGGATCTGCTGCACTGCATGGACCAGAAAGGAAATGGTTGAGATTTCAGGGATCCATCATTATCACCATATTCCTGAAGAAAGGTGAGATGATTGGATGTGGCAGATCTCACAATACCTTTTAGCTCTCTCATCATTGGTGAGAGCCTAGCATAACTCTTCTTTTATGAGCATATACACAGAATGTCCAGCATGAATGTTTAAACTTCAACATGATTTAGGATGCAGGAGAACATTAGCTCTCTGTTGCAGTGGTTTTTGCACCCCCCACCCCAAAGCAATTGAACCTTACCTTATATAAAATCCTGTTTGAAGTCTAGTGTATAAAATGGGTAAAAGTGGAGCTACTCTGTGTTAAGAGAGTTGTGGTGGAGAGTTGGTGAGCATAATTAGAACCTCTCATGGTTTATCCTTTCCCCAAAGCAGCCTCTGAATCCTGTTCAAGGAACCGTAGGGCTCTAAGAATGTAGAAACCACTTCTCTACTTTGTCAGATTTGGGAAAAGGATTGGGGATTACCTAAAGGATAATGTCTTCCTCAACTTCACAAATGTTTTGCCACCATCAGTAGTGTGTTTCTCCATAAGCATGTCAAATCTAGCTACAGGTTATAGTGTTGGAAGTTGGGGACATGAAACGTGAGTAAGGCACGGTCCCTGCTGGCAAGAGGTTCATAGTCTAGTGAAGTACTTCCCAAACTTTTTCCCATCTTGACATACACAGAAAATGGTAGTAGTGAGACAGACATGGCCGCTTGTAATATGAGATGGCTAGCCCAAGGCCTCTAGCCATTGTAAGCCCTGTTTAGCCATATAGTACTGATGGGATCATTATCTCCAGCTGTCTTTCATTCCTGTAATGCATTAAAGGAATATTATTTGGAAAGTTCCAGCTCTGGAGAGTGAAGGAGGCAAATATGAATAAAACATACTCTGATAATTCTAGAGAAGTGTGTTTGAGATGATAAGGGATCACAGATGACTTTTACTCTCCATGGTAGGCAGTTCTGTCTTCTGTACTGTTAAGGTGCTCTATAATGGTTGGTCTCGTCCAAACCCTAGCTTCCTGTTTCATCTGTTTGCTGGCAGCTCCATCTTGATCTGCACAGTCAAATTGGGGGCAAAGGTTTATTAGGGCTTTAGGCAGACTACTCATGGAATTTCAGTAATTAGGAAAGTATAGTGTTCTTAGTGTTTAAGGCTATAGATGTGGGCATTAGAGCAGCCATTGAATAATAGGAGATGAAGCAATTGTAAACTGATCAGATTCTAAGAATATGGCATACTGAAAGCTTTGGTTCGAGGGCAGTGCCACAGAATGTTACAGAGAAACAAATGAGTCTAGTTTTTATCTGGTCTCTGTTTTATCTGGCTAGGCCATGTATTCTGAAACGGACCTAATGCTC